GAGCACACTCTGAGCCACGATTGGCTAGTTAAAACCACCTGAAGTTATGCACGTGGAGAAAAAGTCGTACTAAGGCGAGAGGGGTGAGTTCAGAGTTTGTAAAGTTCAAAACAATAGTGACCTCGCCAATAGTGAATACAGACACATCTCTAATACGAACACTTTGTCTCTTCGGTCTCCGTATTAGAGAGGTTTGACTGTACACTGTCGCATTGTTTTAATTGTTCTGATTAGTTATATCATTTATCCATTTGTACATTTGATTTGCCCTTTTGATTTTCTTGTGGTGATTTCATGATTTTGCTAATTACACCTGTCCTGTTTTAGAACCTGTGGTTTTTACTCGATAAACATCATACACCACCTGTGTTTGGAGATGAACAGGTATTAATTTAAGAAAGTTTACTAGATTAAATCAACCAAATATTTTTCAATTATTGCCATTGTAAATGGACTTGTAAACATGTTTTTTCTATCATGTAGCAATATTGCATTGGTACTTGTCTATAAAGCATCTTTTGAAATAGAAATGTCATCATTTATGATTCTGTTTTTTTCAATCATTTTTGGCAATAAAATATCTAGGGATTGTTACCTTGGCTAGTTTGAAGTCATTTTAGTACAATGTTAGTGATAATGTTTAATATTATTTTGTTGCTAACTGAAAGAACTTTGCTTTGTTTTGTTTGTGTGCTGTCGTTTTTTAGATGATCAACTATGAAGACTTCTTAAAAGTTGCTGGAGAGGCTGGTGAAAAATGCAGGTAGTAACACTATACAGTGTGCAAGGAAAATAATTTTGCCTTTTTGCGTGGTAGTTTGCTAAGATATTCTCATTTTTTTTTTTCATGACAGGCCCTTCTTCAGTGCAACTGTTTTTGCCAAATTATTTCAGCAGGATCCTTTTGGGAGGTGAGGGAGTAAAACATCACATAAACATTCCCATTGCCATGACTGATCAAGCATTTTATTTTGAAAAATGGAGAGATTCAACAGATGAATATAAAATTTCTAAGACAAATAAAAGCGTTTTAGAACCAAATGCACAGACCACGTTATCTGTTATCTATTGAAATCAAAATGGTCATGTAAGCAAATGTCTCCCACTGTTGCATATCTTTGTGAAGGTCAAGGAAGAATAGTAAACCAAGGTACAGTAGAATGGAAAAATGTGCAGTGTCAAAGCATTTAATTTATCAATACCAAGTGCTATTTAAGGCAACTTTTTCATTTGGTTTCATAGGCACTTTTAATACTACACTTAATTGTACAGTGTAGCTCAATAGTTTTGAGATCATAATGCTGAAATAACTTTTTTTCTATAAAATTTCTTTTATCTTCACTTCTAAAATTTCAGGATCTCTATCATGCAGTTTTTTAACTATGTCATGCGAAAAGGTAGGTTGATAAAGCAAAGCTGTATTGAACCTATTGTTATAATGTGGAAGCTAAAAACAGTGCATGCAGATTACAACTGGCCTAGTAAATTAGTCTTTCCTTTTCAAAACAAAGAGCTGTGGGTAACTATCATTGTAAATACGGAAAATGTACTTTAACCTTCTGAAAAACAAACAAACAAGGCTTAGCCTAGTAGCTTCATTTTCCTGTTGGCGATAGTCAGCATTTCACTACATCACTTTGATTATGAATATGAGTCCAACATAGTGTGACATAGCTTACCGTACCGTTTGTACCTCATTGGCTGTAGCACATAATTATCCTGGGCTGATTATTTTTCAATACTAATAAGCATTTTATGACACAGTTTGTGTGGAAAATGGTAAGGGAATGAAATGAATTTTTAAAGATTAGTGAATAACAAGGCATTTTAGGGGGATGATAATGTTTAAATTGAATCCCACATTGCCATTACAGTATCTGAGTTTGGACTTTTCTTTTCAGTTTGGCTTCATCAAACCAGAATAGGCCTAAGTCTATATGATGTTGCCGGACAAGGATACCTGAAAGAGTCGGTAAGCTTGCAGTAGTTTGTGTGATGGTTGTGAACTAGTGGAAACTAGTAATCTAAGCAAGTGTATTCTGAAAGTTAGTTACTCAGTGTTC